CACACACACACACACACACACACACACACACACACACACACACACACACACACACACACACACACACACACACACACACACACACACACTGTATCCAAACACTCGCTACACACAAATGCACATTCCCATGCACAAGCTTACCACGATCCTTACCTCTGTGGGAGAGGTTGCCGTTGCTCTCTCTCTGGATGCTGTTCGGGGCCACGGGGCCTAACATTGGCGTGCGTGTGGACGTTGACGTCTGACTGGTGCTGCTGAAGCTGGTCGTCTCCGTGCTCGTGGCAGCGGGGGTTCGAGCCTGCGCCGTAGAGGTGGACCTGGGTCTCTGAGGAGAGGATGTTGTCGTCGGGCGTCTGGTCGAGGGCCTGTGCGTGGTGGCGGCGGTACTTGTTGTGGTGGGGGGAGTCGTGGAGGGTGTTGCGGTGGTGGTGCTGGTGGTGCTGGTGGTGCTGGTGGTGGTGACAGTTGTGCTTGTCGTTGTGGCGCTCATTGTGGTGGTCGTGGTGGGAGCTGTTGTCGTGGTTGTGGTTGGAACAGCTGTCGTGGTTGTTCTGGGTCGAACTGAGGAACAGGACAAAAAGCGTTTGAGCTTTTACTTACATGTATCATCTACCTTTACCTCTTTTCCTCACCTGTCCAAACACAAGGTCCGAAACAGAGGGTGTGCATGAAGGAGAACTACCTCACTAATGTGGTGACTGTGTTGGGAGAACATGGAGACAGGCTGAGCGGTGAAATAAGGTCGGAGAAATAACGGCGGTGGGCTGGAAACGCGGGAAAGCTCAGGGAATCCCTGACCCACTTAACATCACAGTGATACTTTCAAACACAGGCATCGAATCCACTGAAGGAATCGGCTTTAAAATCCATTATAATAAATACAAATAGATTAAGAGGCATTGTTCAGGGCAGATACTGGGAAATACTGGATTCAGATAAAAGCTACAATCGTGTTGTAAAGTCATTTTGTATTTTATACATACATCATTCAATATTACATATTTTACTGACACGTTATTATCAGTGTATCTCCTGAAATGTTAAACTTCAGGGTCGGAATATGTGCGGCCACAACTCTATTGCTGAACCTGAAGAAATGAACTTAAACCAAAACTGTCTGTCAGCACATGCAAAATGTTCCCAGACCTTCATCCACATATAAGAAACCCTCTAATATACTGAGGAGTTTAAAGCGGAAGATTTATTTATAGACATATATAAATACTTAATACTTGAGGTGGAGGGATTTTAGCAGAATTGAGTAAAACTTCACTTTAAAATGCTCATGACCCGACACTCTGCCCGGTCACAGGCGTTACACCGAGGCAGACTTCATGCCTCGTCAGAATCCTTCAATCAGCTCCCTCTCAGCGTGATTGACTGGTTCACAGTGAGATCGACTCACCTATAGCGCAGCGCCTCATGTCCGGCCCCAGCTCCATTCCTTCGGGACAGGCACAGGTGTACTTGGGGGAGTGGTCTGTGATCTGAGGGGCCTTCAGACAGAGGTACTCACAGCCACCGTTGGGTAAACTGCCCATGTTACAGGTGTCGGGAGCTGGAGGGACGAGAGCAGAAATACAGCAGATGAAGATGAATGAAAACATGAGCACAGAGGTTTAAAGTAGTCATGTGACTTAAACCTTATTCAGACAAGACAAATGGCCCCTCTTTTCCTTCCTGAGATATTTGTATTCCTCAGTTTTATTGTCCGCCGTCAACGGGAGCAACGGACTCTCACATGAAGCTCCTCCAGGTGATTTCAGAAGTTCAGAGTTCAGTGCATGTCGTGGGGTAGACCTTTTATATCTTAAACATGCTTTGGTTATGACACCAGAACTGTCTACATGGCGTCATCTGGTGATTTCTGGTCATGTGGTCAAATCTGAGAGAACATTACTGTGGTGTCATTACATTAAACAGTACCCAGAATAAGAGGACAGGGGTCTTGAACCTTTTCAGCCCAGGATCAAATTCTTGTACACTACTTTCTACCTATTAACCCTTTTGTGCAACATGCAGTGAAGCAACATAAAATAGAAACTTCAACTTTTACAGAGTTTTATTTAGGGGCATGTATTTGTTCCAGAGACGATTTTCCGGTCCAATGAAGAAATGCCTGGGTTAAGACAAGGGTCTCTAAACTTTTCGTTTTTAATCTCTCTACTCAAATAAAACATTTACATGTTTTTTTCCCAGCTACAGACTCTGAGTGGTGCAAAAACATTGCTCCTCTTGCCACGTGGGGATGCACCAGAATTAGGTCAGGTCGCGGTCGATTCTGCCTCCTGATTCGGTACGAAGCGACACATCAGAGGAACCACCAGCCATCAGGGGAGGAAGCTGCATCGCTCACGACGTAGGGAGAGATTTTAATAATCTGGGAATACGAGCGTTCTTCAGTACAGTATCTCTATGTGCAACGAGCACGGTACAGTAATATGAACAGTCTAAATGAAATTCTTAGAAGCTGCACATATACCTGCTTTCCATATTAATGAGAAATGAAGCTCTTTGGGAATGTCATGACCCAATCTGAAGAAACATTTCAATTCTATGGCGGTGGAAGAAAAAGTGGGAAAGTAGAAAAGGAGGCAACGGGAAAAAGGACAGAGAAAAAACCATATGATTGCTCTTTAGTTGCAGCGTCCCCTCCTCTCATTCTGCACTGCACCGCCTCCCATAGGTGCAGACAAACAACAAAAGCACGGAGCGTCGGCATCAAAGAACAACTGCACCGATAAAAAAAAAGGAAAAAGATAAATAATAAAAGAGGCACAACAAAGAGAGTTAGGAAGAGCTGATCTTTTTATGATGTCTGTCAAGAAAAATGAACAAATGTTGATCAGGGTTAACAGAAGATACACGAGCCGTGATCCGAGAGAGAAGAATATAAAAGTGTGAAAGAAATGGAAGAGAGGGGGCTCATCTAGTAAACTGCCTCAGTCAAGGTCGTATTTTATCATCTTCATTTAGCCCACTCAGGCCCGCTTGTTTCATAACTTGCTCTCAGTGGCATTTTGAAAGAAAACGTGCTAAATTCCGTGATATTTCTTTCTGAGCAGAACTCTTGATTTATTAATGAGGGAACACAATTAGCTCCCCACTGGCACTCAGACTAGACTGCTCTGAGCGAGGGGAGAAAACAAAGCATGAAAACATACTCACGGAAACAAATTGCTAGAGCACACTGTCAAACACAACGAGGTATACACACACACAAACACACACAAACACACACACACACACACACACACACACACACACACACACACACACACACGGAGAGACGCCAACTCCTGCGCACACATGCATGGAGAGATGCGCACTAGTGCACACACACACCTGGGCATGCAACCATCCTCATAAAAAACAATAAACACCTCAGTCGACATGCCAGCCTCACGTCAGTTTAAACACACAGTTCATTGTATATCGCAGCTTTGAAAATTGTTATTTCTAAACTTAAAAAAAGTTTTTTTTTTTAGCAGTGAGTGAAAAGTAGAGAGGATTGTATGTAGTCCTTCCCGTGATGTTTGGGTTCTGTACGAACAATCAACGTTATCGTCAAATGAGCAACACCGGGCTGCTTCATCTTCTTCTACAAAGCCCGAGAAATAATCCAAACTGTCAAGCACCAACAGATGTTCATGTCATACAAGACTCACTGGGTGCACACGTTTCTCTCTCACTTGCTGGAGAGAGGCAACTTCAATGTATGCCACAAATGCAGCATGTATGCTCGATAATCAATGGGAACTCTGTTGTATTCTAAACTATTGATATGAAAGTATTTGTAGTATTTTATCTTACATTTTATGTTTTGGATTTTAGTCCCTGCATCATTTGTTTTAATCCAATCTGTCCCTTCTCTTACCTTTGGGCTGCCTCTGTTCGTGAAACACCACGAGGTCCAGCGGGTTGTTGAGGTGCTCTGCCACCTTGGCGACATCATGTCCCGTCAGCCGGTTGGCGCTGTATATCGCCTCATCCTCCAGGTCCGTCCAGTAAATGCGATCCTGCATAGAAAGAGAACAAAGAAAATGCATGAAGTACACATCACTGACTGTTGAACCCTAAACACTTCTACACACCAGGACTGTGACGAATAAACGAATAAACTATTTTTTTATTTATTCATCTTTATTTCTGTTTAACATCAGAATATTTTGACACGTGCTTGTTAGAATTTTCCACTGCATCTTCAATTTTTTTGTTTACTTAAAAATCCCCAAAATATTCAGTTTATTACCACATAAGAAAAAAGTAAAGCATCAAATGTTTCACTGGAGAAGCTGAAAACAGAAAATGTTTGGTGGTCATGATGAAAAAGAGGAAAAACAAAGCATCTAAAACCAACTGGCAGCTCTGTACTGTAACCACGTCCCAAGGGAACATTTAACATCATCTGCATAGAGCTGCAATGCATTTATTTAGTTTGTTGATATGTTTAACAGCAATCGTCCAAGGAAAATGCTGCATAAAGATTTTTTTAGGGATGAAAGGATTCCAGAAAATATATTCTGTAGTTTGCTGCAGATATATATATATATATATATATGCACATCCTAACAATGAGTGTTTACTTAAATGAACATGCTCCAGCTTTGTTTTAAATGTATTACTGTGTGTTTGGAAGAACACCGCCCCGGGGCGTTAGTCTCATTTAGATTTAAGTCATTTCTGCCTGAAATCAACCATAGAAGTATTTTTATTGAGATATTGCTCTGACTATCAATGCAGTCTTTTGTTTCCTGGTCATGTCCATGTGTTGGACTTACACCTCTCTCTAAGTTTATTCATCATTTATCATGACTCTTATGTCCTGACCTGTTCATGTCAAGAAAGGTCAAGGTCAAGTGAAATGCATGTTCTCTTTCTGCAGAAGCTGAAATATGTGTTTTTATGTTGTAAGGAAAAAAAGTCTCTCTCATGTGTGATAGATATTTCCTCAGAGAGCTACATGAACTCTGCACATGTCATCGTCCCCTGACCATTTCTTCTTGAATGAATACTGAGAGTAAAGCTTGACTCATCTCTTCTGTCGGACCTGAGTCCTCCTCACTGTGGGCGTTTCCACACCTGAAGTCTGAAATAAGGTTGATGTCTAACATTGTTAATATTTGATCGGCTTATAGTTCACACTGTCATTTAGAAAGCGGACTCAAGTCCTGTCAACACTTGCATTTACGTGTTGACTGGTTTGTAGACAGGCGTAAATTCAGTTATTGTATTGTTGTGTAACTTTTTTGAATAAAGTGCATCAAAAAGTAGTGTTTCCGATTCACTTCCAGCTAAATGAACGTCCTCATTGTTCAAACACGTCATCGGAGGTGAAGACTACGCCACTTCTTTTCTAAAAATTATTAGAACGACTTGTTCGTCCATTAGATGCTAAAGGGATAAACTCTGCAGGCTCAAACGTGTGAGGTTTCTCTCTCGTCTTTCACCTTTGACTCTTTGTCCATTCATTTTCCTCTCTCTAACACCTCTTCACAATCGTCTTTGGTGATACTACAGGACGACAGGATACAGGCACATGGTTTCCAAGGCAACTGCAGACTGCTTCTTTTACACAGACACACTTCAATTAAGAAAAACACAGAAAATTATAGCGAAAAGAAAAACACGGAGGACGCTGAGCTCACAGGCGGGTTAAAGAAAAATGATGATGAGAGAGTGAGACTGACGAGCGGCTGCAGCAGGTCATGGTGGCTCCTGTTTGTATTTTTATCATTCAGCTGTGACTGTTTACAGTCTCATCATCTCCTTAAAAGGTCAAGGACCTGCAGGGGTCCCACCACAGATTTGTCTTGTGTGTGAGTGTGGTTCAGTCATAGCTATAATCCATGTTCTCCGTTTATGCTGGGTTGTTGGCGGACTTAACCTTTCTCTCACCTTCTCCTTTTCCATCTTTCTCTGAGCTCTCTATCGCTCCATCCCCACGTCTCTCAGATTCAGATAACCTTTACTCATCTGACAGCCTCGCTGAAGCAATGAAAGACAAATATCATCCACGGCGATAAAACAATACTGAAATCTATCATTCCATCTCTGCCTTTGCCTCCTTTCTCTCTGTGGACGTCTCTCTCCGTCAGCCTCCACCTGTTTTTCCTCTTTCGGCTTCTCCTCTGTCATTCGCTGCATCTGTCGCTTCTCCGTCACCTTGAAAGTTTCAAAAGGCAACGCAGACCCGTGCAGGTCAACACTCTTCATCCCAGGATCAAGGTGAATCCTTCATGTGTCGGAGCACAGACCCAAACTTGTACACGTGCACAAAAACAATCTCTCCTGAGCACATTGCATCACTTCTGTCGGAGCTGTCTGACCCTGGTTGTCATGGAGATGAGAGTAAATGAATGCAGAGGGTTTTTAATGTCATGGGGAGAACAGCCCTTGATGATTTTGTCATGATTCCGTCCCAGAAGAACAAATGCTCGTCAGGCTGATGAGCGTTTGGTGCCTCCTGCCTATAGATGTCAGGCCAGAAAAAAGCTCAAACAAAGCCGACCCCCTCAACTTTTGAAGCCTTTGATTCTGTTTTCAGTTTGATATGTGTTCTTTGTTGCATCAACCCAAGTTGTAAAATATTAACGTGGGCTTGGTGTTAAATCTGTGGCTTTAGGAGATGTTTTCTGTTAATCTCTACTAAGCCTCAACAGAGTATTGAAGCCTTTTTCACATGCATGGTTCACCCACACAGGTATTTTCAATTTTCCCGATTAGACATCTGCTCTGGACCGTGGGTGTGGGTGGTCACACAAGCGCAAGTCTCTGAAAATATTCACTTTAGCTCTAATTTGATTGAACTCTACAGCAGCTTTCAGACATGAAAATGTCCAGAAAAATTGGATGCAGACATTTTCTGGAGTTCTCATTTTACATATGAAGAACGCAACGAGTAAGACGCGACCACAGCAACAGGGAAATGTCCGAAACATTCAGGCGAGGGGTGGAGCCTATAGAAAATGCAGGGGGCAGAACATGACGTAGAAATTCAGCTGCGGAAATCACGTGTGTTTTTATTTACAGCATAAAATATTTCTTTATTACGTCAAGATGGCCTGTTAACGTCAATTCCATTCAGACTATTTTACTCGACTCGAGGCAAATATGGAGCTGTGTGGTTGTGTGCTTTAAAACCTCCTACAGTGATGAGCTCGTGGCAAAAGGACAAACATCCTTTTTGTATTTTTCTTCCTGATCGTATTTTATTTCTTTCAATCACCATCCTCCTCTCGACTTCTTCCTCCCAAACACATCTCATCTTCTCTTCTATACCCTCGGGTCAAACAAAGAGGGGATAAAAAACAATGCAGTGATACTAAAGCTGAAGAAAGAGAAAACATTACTCTGGATGTCTGTGCGATCTACATTTCCTCAGGGCTTGGTGTCTTGGCAGGGCGAGGACACTGACTGGAAAGGTTTGCATGTGTGTGTTTGTGTGTTCAGACTTTGATGTAGAAAAGAAACTCACTGGTAATAATGTGAGGTTTGCAGATCACATGTTGAAGACATGTCAAACACATTTTAAGAACTTTCAAGTGCCTCATACCTGTTTCATGCTCATTGGAAGTAGGGATTGTTTTGCTGTACGTTGTACTTGTGTTTTGTTTTTATGTAAAGATACTTAATAGTATTTCTTAGTATTTATAGAAGCCTACCATAGATACTTGAGTTTTCCAGATTTTTAGTAATCTGTAGTTTATTTCAGAGTAAGTTCAAAAGTAAGACGAACAGAAAATACTTCATCACCTAATGATATGGTTTTGTTGACTGTTTCCACAACAGGAAATGTTAGAAGATGTGCAGCCATATGTAAACACAGTCATCTGATATGATGTGGATGCTGATGATAATTGTTGGTGATAATGGTAGAAATTATAAACTTGGGCTTTTGCCTACACTTCAATCAAAATTGTATACCATCAACAGTGCATTGTGGGTAAGAACATATCATGTTTGCTATCTATAGCATGATTTTGTTGGAAATTGATTCTCAAAATGATCTTTTCATCATCTTCATGTCGATAAATGCTGATCTGATGTAAAGTGTGTGATAGTGCATCATCCACCACACAAGCTAACTGAGCCCTGTGACCAGTTCTACTGAGGCCAAAGAGCCTAAAATGCTCCCTTGAAGCTTATTTCCCAGATAAAACACAAACAAAATGAAGTGAACAAGAAAAAGCTTCAGTTCACAGCTCAGAAGAAACAAACCTGATCAGTGTGTTGGGAGCAGGACTAACCGCTGAGTTGGTAAAGGCTTTTTAATTTGTTCTGTATCATAACCAGAGAGAAACAATGACCAGAGGAGCCATTAATCTCCAGAGATGAACTTTCACTGCTGCCCGAAACACTGGTTTTATTCATCTGTTTTCCCACACACACACACACACACACACAAACGCACGCACACGCACAGCTGGACATGATGGATGTCCCCTATTCCCTTTGCTCCTCATCATCACAGTGTGTGTGTAGCTGATCACACTTCGCCTCCTTCTTTCTTCCCTTCATCCTCGCTCTCCTCTGCTTCTCTTTTCCACACCATCTGCACTTGATGGGCTCGAACAGACTGACTCGCTCATGCCTCAATAAACGCACCCAAATTAGTTTCATTGATTGCTGTACTCTACTGTGACTCTTTGAGAAGATCATTCTCCGGGTTAGTCCTGCTACTGCACTTTAAAAACGTCCACATCCTTGTCAATGCTCCTCCGCTGACATATCTCTCTTCCTCAATGTTTTAATCTTTTACTTGAAGGACACTCTGTCAATACCAGTATGTGCTTCAGACAGAAACGTGACTCAATCCATTCATTTCTGGTAACAAGTTTTTGATTGTTATTGCAGGACTGGAAACTGGAAAAAATACAAAAATCTCAGAAGCTGACAAAGCCTTGTCTGAATCGTGGGTCTGCAGAGGGCGCTGTCGCTCAGTTTAAGTTACACATAGTGTGGCTTTGATCTCCCATACCTCAAAGACACTGAGGGCAAACGGGTGTCCTAGGTGCTGATGGGAGGACAGCAGGACTTTGCGGTTGTCTCCATTCAGGTCCACGCTGGACAGCAAGTGCAGCTTGGAGTCCACCCAGTACAGACGCCTGTTGGACAAGTCTGCAAAGGGAGGGAGGAGGGGAGGACCAAAGCCAAGCAGGAGAACAAAGTGAGAGAAAGAAAGAAAGAAAGGGAGACAAAAAGAGAGAGAGGTCATTCCCAGAGAAAAGGCCTCGGGTGAGAGGTGTATGAATGTAATGGCCCAGCAGCTACAACATCAATCTTCTTTGACCTGACAGCTCAGACCCTGAGCTGAGAAAACACAGATGTGATTGTAATATTGTCGGTTGACTTCTTTGCTGGGGGGAGAAAAAAAAATATTTCTGCCCTTGAACAAATTGATTAGTCTAGCTGGATTTTATTCTAAAGGGTAAAGTCTCTGATGCTGTTTACGTTTCAGACAACTGCAAGTTTGCTATGGGCCACAGAGGAGTGTGGTGCCGAGCTTAGCTTGAAAATGTAGATTCCATTATATTGGACATAAAATGACATAATCAAAGTATGACTTTGCTTTTTTACCCAGGAGAAGGGAGCAAACTTTAGTAATCGTCTAAAAACGTAATAAAAATCCTGTCTGTCCTTCATAAAGCTTGGATTTGACCATATGCTACAGGCGGGTCAGCTGAGTACATTGAAAAGGTGCTGAACTAACACAACGCCAAAGAGAAACCAAGAAACCACAGAGCGGTTTTTATTCAGAACTTTCCCTCCAGACTCCGACAATCATTCGCTCTGTTCAAAATCAATGTCCAAGGGAAAATAATTCACCCCCTTTCTCCCGCAGCATTAGAGTGCAAGTCTTTGCCAACTCTCTCGTTCGCCTTACTCCAAAAATAATTTGTTTTCATACAGATGCAGCGACACCTCAATTCCACAGAGTGTGGCGACCGTGCGGCTCTCTTTCTCCCGCAGGCGAGGGCCGCTCAGAGAAATTGGCTGGGGCCACGGAGGGAGTTGAATGGGATGATGGGAGGTATCGATGGCACACGGCGTCTGGCTTATTAATTCGGAGGCCCGTGTTCGCTGGCGTGATTGATGAGAGCCAGACACAAACTGAGCTATAACAATAAGAGCTACTCAGGGGTTGCAACAACCCTCGACTGTTTTCTTCTCTCGACTCTCTCTGTTGGTCTCATTTTGCTTCTCTCCCTCTCTCCGTCGCTTTTGTCTTTTTGAATTTCTCTCTTCCTGAAGCACTGAAACCTTGATTTTTAATATTCCACCAGACTTTAATTTAAATTTCTTACCCAGGGTGATTCCATTGGGCCACTCGATGTGTTCAGACACTAACACTTGTCGGTCCACTCCATTCATCCCAGCCTTCTCAATTTTGGCCTGACCTCCCCAGTCTGACCAGTACATAAACCTGTGAGGAGAGATGGAGACAAGTCAGACACTGCCAGGATGAATTCACACAGCGTCCCTGTTTGTCTTTATCCTATTTTCTCTCATCAAATCCAACAGTTTTACTTCCACAGACTTTGGAAACACGTTACAAGTAAAACAGCATGCTGTGAACTTGAACATTTAAAATGTGTGTGTGTGTGTATTTCAATGAGAAACCAATGAAAACCTGGGTTCATTTGCGCGTCTTTCATGCTCGTCTAGGTTTATAGAGTTGTGAAAAGAGCTGAGACGGAGCTTGAATCCACAAATAATTGTTAAAATGCTTAATCAAACTGATTGCTACAGAACAACAAACAGTTTTGTGATGGTTTACTTAAAATGTTGTAGGAGAAAGTTTGTTCCTACATATAACGTTGTCTTTTAGCCAATTCAACAACAATAGACGAGTTTATTTGGACACCAACATTCTGATATTAACCTGATTAAGCCAATAGTCTGAATAAGACTCTGCCATGTAAACAGCATTTTCTGATTAACCTCAGAAAAAGCAACAATACACAATATGCAGACAATATATATATCTATATGTTTTAATCTCATTTTGCGGAAGTTACAAACTGCTTGCGTAAACAAGTGGTAGTACATAATGTTGACTTCAGTCATAATAGAAACTATGCTCTGTTACATGTAAACAGGAAACTGAATGGAATATTCTATCTGACTCAATCAGAATAAGGTCAGTAATCTGAATATTGCTGTAAATGTAGTCATTGACAGCCACGTGTATCCTCTGGTCTCCTTCACTCAGCTTCTTTGTCATCTTTAATCCCTCCACCCTCAAACTGTCCCCACTCACCCTTGGTGTGGATCCACCGCTATGGCCCGCGGCTCGCTCAGCTCGGTGGCTATCAGCACTTTCCTCTTCCTGCCGTCTCCCGTGGCAACAGAGATACTCTTGTTGCCCGAGTCCGTCCAGTAGATGTTCTTATGGACCCAGTCGACTGCGAGGCCCTCGGGGGAGTGGAGCGAGTCGATGAGTGTCACCTGCTGCGACGAGTCACTGGCCTTGTTGATGTAAGCACTGGTGGACGGTAGAGGAGAGGTGTGTGAGTCAGTGTTCTGGAAACGATGGAAAATCCAATAATTCACGGAGCAGGCAGAAAAAGTGAAGCTGGCCACAAATCCACAACAACAAAAGTTGTACTTACAAGAATTGCTGCTGTCTACTCTGGTTTTTCAAGTGTACTACTTGCCTTTAATACCAAGGCAGACATGTCGGGTACTCTTTACTCTGGATAATGCTGTGTCAGGGGCACCGGAACCTGACACCTCTATAACAGCCTCAGCTCTCCCACCAGACAGCACTTCTCAGGGAGAATGAGTCTGTCTTCATCTATCAGCAGCTTACAAAACAACCTGCCTCTCTTTTTGTATTGTCACTCTTCCAATCTGTGTGTTTCTGTCTTTTCTGTTTTTCAGTTTCTCACATTTCCTCACGCCTCTCACCGACTTTCTGTCCATTGATTCCTCTCTCCCTGTATTTTATTAAAATATCAACTCCTTTACTCATCACACATTTTCTGACATAGAACTTTATAGTCTTCACTAAATTAAACCAGACAACAACAAGACAACCTTATTAAACGGTTGGGAAACACAACGTCATAATTAACACTCCTGTCATGATGTTTGCAAAGAGCACATGGACGATGAAGAGAAGTATGGATGGGAGGAGCAGCGTAACTGAGGAGGAGAGGGGTGGGATAGTTGGAGCGAGGGATGAGGTAGAGATGGATGAGCTGGAGACTTGGAGGCATGTGTTGTTAATTAGCGTTTGACTCTGCAGACGTTTTCATGGGGTGAAAGTTAGCCTGCTGCTGCTTTGTGATGGATAATGTCAAGTTGGTCTCTCGTGTCTCAGGGATTAAAACATGGATCCAACACCTGTCTCTCAGTCAGAGGTCAAATTAAAATGAGCTGGCCAAATGACCGTGGATGAAATCCCTCATGCACCCTCGTGCAGCTCCGTGTAACAACTGTACATCACAATCTACATCACAGATGCTGGGATAGAAATGATGATTCTGTTAGAATTACAGAAATGTTTGCACTTTGAGTCCAGCTGATTAGCCAATCATAACAATTCCCACAAAATCAGCCTGAAAAGAAAGAGCAACGTGAAAGCAAATATTTTAACAGACTTTCACTCAGCCTGGGGAGCATATTCCAGCTGATACATCATACACAGGACATTGACATCCAATATTTGACTAAACTGCCACATATTTTCACAGACTTTCAACTCACTACAGTTAAAATGTTTATACAGACGGGGATGAACAGGTTGGAGGATGAACAGAGGGGCAGGCTGCAGTGAGGAATAAGACAGAGACAGATGAGTCCAATACCACTGAGCAGATTGCATCTTTAATTGGCTGTATTATTGTTTGCAACAGACATCTCCATCATGGGGGGACGTTAACAAGTCATCAACCCATAGCATGCTAATCACTCTGAATTAGCCCAAAAAAACAAAACGTCACAGTGAGGGCCGATGAGGAAGAATCTCTATCAATAAAGAGCTACTTGAATGTGATAAAACGTACTTGTACCAGAGGGGTAACTACCTCTCTGGAAAGTAAGATGTCTGAGCGGGAGGTGGAATCAATCATGTTTTTACCATTAAGATAAAACAAGGAACAAAGGAAACAGAAGAGTTCTGGAAATCGTCACAACTTCAAAGTTGTGAAGAGGAAATAACATAAAATGTTGAAAACAATAAAGAAAGGTTTTATCCACGTTGTAAGGGGCCGTGTTTTTGTTAAGAAAGCTGACTGTTGCTTTGCTGGGCCTTCAAAAAATCCTAAAATAACAGAGTATGTACCACAAATACAGCAGAGGCTGTTATTTTACAGTTAATGTCTTGATTGACTTTCTCTCTAATTGGGGAAGGCAATTTTTGAACCTCGCCCCAAACATGCAACATGAAATCAGCTCTTATACTTAAATAAAAGAACATTTTATTTCTTATAATTTTTTACAATAAAAAGACAGATTGACTAAAAAATAAAGCAAAAACAACCGAGTAGACTTAATCGTTACGTATTAGTCCATCTGTCCTCTCTCCATCACAGGCCCTTGACTGTGTGTCGGAGTATGCGCATGGGTGTGTTAATGTGTGTGTACATGTAGATGAGTGATGGTGGTGATTATTGAAGCAGTGAAATTAAAGGGAGCATATGGCTCGGCCGAGATGATAGAGGACCCCTCCCACTACCTGCCAGCCACCAGGGTGACACACACACACACACACACACACACACACACACTAGTGCACACACTAGTGCACACACAAATACACAGTATGAATGAACCTGCATGTGTGCTCACGTGTTTGTGAAGGACATGCAGCTCCCCCTCTACTGTCAGACTGATGACAGAGCCCTTCAGGTGTGATTGACACACTCTCCCTCTCACGCAAACACACACACACACGCACGCACGCACGCACACGCACACACACACACACACACACACACACACACACACACACACCATGTGGGACTGTCACGCTACCAGAAGGTGTGCCAAGTTGCAGCAGACAAGATGGATGGATACAGGAGAAAGAGAATGACAGAAGGACGAGGAAAGAGTGTTATCTAAACTCCTGAAGTCCCGACTCTGTGCTCCACCATTCATGATTTTTATGGGCAGCACAAATCATATGCACTGTACTCCGAGTGTGTGTGTGCGTGTGTGTGTGAGTGTGTGTGTGTGTACCTGTATATTTTACGATGATATAAATCACACCAGAACATCTTGTTGGTGGAAACGTCTACATCCAGGGCCACAGCGTTTTTCAGCGTGGGAACCACTTGTGAGTATTCGCTCTTCAGCAGGTCGATGCGACGGATCTCGTGTCGGTTGGTGAACATGAGGTACGGACTCTTTCCTGATGGAGAAGGAAAAGACATTAATGTCACAATAATGTGTACGGACTTCTCCTGAAGAACATCTCGTTTATTATCTGACGTTGGTGAGATTGGACAGGGAGGCTACAGAGCTCAGGGGGGAGGTGGAGACCCTTCATGACCATTAACCTGCTATTGTGACGCCAACAGAGGACATTTATCATCCTCCACCCACTTCCTACTAGACATGGGTGATTATACTGTCAATCATAAATATATCAGTGAACATGTGACAAGGAAACAACAGCTTAGGCTACTGCTGAGTGCAGAATCATGAGAGTTACACAATGTGAGATTCCTCAGCTTTTGTATTTGCACTATTAAAGTCCTAAAAGCCTGTATTTTTAATGTGAACATACATTTTTTATTTTTTGTTTTCTCTCTCACACACACACACACACACACACACAGCTTGTGAATAAAGTACCCCAACAGCTAGAGATGACACACTCTTCTATTTCCAGCCAACCTGTGTGTCAAAAAGTGTATTTTTGGCCTCCGGTCCTCAGGTGCACACGGTGCATGATGTTTGCTGGCACATCGGTTTACCTGCGGCACATTTTTCAGCACACTGAAGGTGAGCATGACTCAAGCGTTTTTTTATAATTCTCATGCAGTCGACAAGGTCAACTCCGTCTTTAGCGCTGCCATGATGCCCACACACACACACACACACACACACCTGATATACATTATCTATCTAAACACTATCAAATTGTACGTTAATGATTTAACTTAGAATTTGTTTTGTGCTGAATTTCTACCTGTTTCTTTCTCATTCTCAGCGATTCCCAACCATCTCATTTTCTCGCTCCTTTCCTTCATTTTCCGTCTCTTTCTTATCTGTCATGACACTCCTCACTCCCCACTGTCCAGTAAACTACGGCTTGTAAAACACACACACGCACGCACGCACGCACGCAGAATCACCAACCATGCCTCAATAGGTTTCCACAGCCCTGGTTTACTATGGTCTACTGCACAGGGAGAAAATATTACATTTCTACTGCTGTTGGATCCAATCATTTTCCTCTGACTACTGGGTTTGTAACCATTATTTTCACCTGCTGAGAGAGAGAGAGAAAGAGAGAGAAAGAGAAAGAGAGAAATAAATAAATCTCGAGAGACAAGCAAAAGCAAATGAGATGGATGCAGGTAGAGTCACAGAAATATGAAGAGTAAGAAGATGTAATTAAGGGGGAAAGAAGAAAAATACAGATGAAGTGACAGAGGCGGAAAGCAGGTCAGGTGGGTGGAGGAGAGAGCGAGAGCAACAGGAAGAAAAAAGAAAGTAAGTATAATAAGGACAGAGATAGATCCAGCTTCTTTTTCATCAATCCCCCGACTCCTCTTTTCAAGACATCTCTTATCCTTCATCACTGTTGTCACTGCAATATGTCCTCCTCAAGGAGGAAAATAAATAAATAAAGCTGAGTCGCTTTTTTCCACAGGCCACAGCATTAGAGATGTCATCAAAAAGTGCGATATTTTCTCCCCTCGATAGATCCGAGCAGAGCAACAGTCAGCTTTCTTAACAAAAACACGGCCCCCTAGATATTTAGAATACAGCGCTGCCAGTTTAGGGCCGGGCCCCGTTGGCTAATTAAGATAATGTGGTGAAAAGATAAATATGGGCTGGGGAAATGCTGTCAGCCACTGCTGCTGCGGCATTGAATTGATTTGCACAAAAGCAGCTGTTTATGTTGAGGAGATATGCAAAGTAAGAGCAAAATCAACATAAAGAGGCAGAAAGGTGAGAAAATTAAAAAGTCTGAAACCTTGTGCATGGGAAAGTTTAGCTGCGGCCGGTGTGTAGATGCACACGCTCCATGATGTTATTATAAGGATGTTATTTGTGTCTGGAAGTCGACACACGTCAGCTGTGCTTGTTGCAGACCAGGCTATAGGATAATGAGAAGATGCTGCAGCAGGGAAAAGATGTGAACAGCTTGTGTCCAAAAAGTCATCCTGCTCACTGGCATTGACGAGGGACGTTATATAACACTTCATTATTTCTGTGGTGGGACGACAGAGTCTCCAGCAAAAACTGCTGCATTTTCTTATTCTAGTAAAAACTCTTCGTGCTTCTGCAAACCGCAAGGTTTGACCAGGAAAAGGTTGATATGTCATTGAAAGAACAGGAGGCAGATTAGAAGTTGTTTTTGTAATCAGAATTTTTACTGCCAACATCCCTTCTGGTAGAGAGAATGAAATGTTGTGAGCAGGTCCATTAACCTTCCTGCTGTCCTTGGGTCAAACTTGATCTGTTTTCAAATGCTTCTAACGTATCTCAGAAATATGGTTTTCTTTCATGCAAAAGCCGAAAATATTTCTTACTACGCTCTTCAGAAATAAAATGAATGACTATTTATTTCACAAAATTTTAGGATTAAAAATTTTTTAAAGTGTCATTATGGACTGCCGTTAACAAAACTTAAATGTTTTGTTCAAAACAGAGTCCTGACTTAGCTTTGACATGTATCACGGCTCCTAGTCAAAATCATTCTGAATGTCTGCTTTTCTTAATTCGAAAAATTGAGGTGTAATTCAATGTAAATTCCAAAAAGAAGTGTAAAATTTGTGGAAAGGATTTTGTTGACTATAGGCTTGGTTGACAGGAAGACACACAAAGGTTAAAAGACGCAAACTCAGGAAAAAAACTTCTGAGATGAGGTTACACAGTGTTCCACCACATCTCGGGGGCCATGGCAAAATCTTGTGATTGACGTGACCACTGCTTTTAACCCACTTGGAAAAGCGTGTGCTCAAACTGTCAAGCGTGGCACAAACTGTTCTTGGCACTGTGGTTAAGTCTGCAGGACACCGTCGACGAGACGAGAGACGGAACAAGAAAAAGGTAACACGAACAAAAAGAAAAGAAAGCAGAGGCAGTTTGTAAACTTTCTCTGGATCCTTGTGACATTTGAGCTGCTTTTATTGACCAGTTCTGTAAGAGCTGACCTGTGGTCTGTTCCCACTGATCTTTCACATCTCAATCCTGTCCGTGAAATGTCATCTGACTACTTTAAAGGGCTCATTTGTCTACTATTGTCAAACAGCAATTTACATGTACATTATACATGTATTCAAAATATATGATATGGACGACACTGATGAAAAGGAGCAGTACCACTGGATATTGTGGGGGGGCAGTGTAGCCAACAGTTCAAGTGAAGCGACAACAAAACCCGAAGAGGAAACGTAAAGAGCGGCTGGACGTGATGTCTACATGGTTTGAAATTGACGTGTCTCTTATTGTACGTTGAAGCAACATCAATTAGCCTTGACTTTGCTCACGGGCATCTTTCACTAATAGCACGAGTGGGGAAATTCAAAAATATATTTACCTCGTAACTTCAAGTTGACACTGTAATGCCTCCGAGATAGAGGAGGCACAAATGAACAGCCTTGTTTATTTCACGTTTGTTAGTTTAGATGATGTGACACTTGGCACGTTGTCGAATCTCATCACAGAACGAAACTTTGCATTTTGTGTGAGCAGAGTCATAAAATGCAGACGTATGCTGATGTCTTTGTGCGTGCGTGTGATTGGGCCACATGTATGTGTGTGTGTTCACTGTGGCTTCATTAAGTCCACATTACCTCGGCTTCACAAAGCAGCCATCTCTATATTTACAGTCCCATCTCTATTTATGCCTCTGAATAAATAAACCTCAACGTAAACAACAGTCCCGTCACACTTTCTCTTCTGCACAATAACGTGTGCAACAATCAACAGCTCGGACGCATCTCTGCATTACTTCAATGAGCAGAGAGATATTCATTCGATGCATCCATATATCCATCTTCTTTCCTCCTCTGCCCTCTAATAAACGCCTCGGCCTCTGACAGGGACTGTTTGCTCGGCTTAACAGTAATAAAGATTCAGACAGACACACATGAAGCAATCAATGGGAGTTTTTATGCCACTTAGCTTAAGAGTGAGGGGCTGTTTTCTGCTCTAAGCTCTCTCATTACCAGACCAGTTCAGCCTATAATGACTCAACCCAAGACCGATGGCAGGGATCACTAATAACACTCTTCTCCTCGCTCTCTCTCTTCCTGCAGAAAAGTTAATTTGCAGAGTAAATCAATCAGTGGACGGTTCCATTCCCACTGTAAGAGAAAGGGTAGTTATGTCTCTGAAAGAATTTTATAAAGTAGATCAGGGTTCTGCATCCTCAGAAATAAGGACTGTAGGAACAAGGTAAAAACAAAGATGAGATTTCCACGAAAGTTAATGGAAGGATGGCACATGAGCCAAGTAAACCAGACCCGGACAAAGTGGTGGATCGAGGTATTTAATGTCACTTTCTTTTACCAAATCCAAGGGGAATAATTCATGGATCTAGATGAAAAACAATCAGACATGTTCAGGGGACTGATTTCATTGAGTGGGAGCCGTTCTTGTTATAATAAGAATAATTAAGCTTCCTGTAAACTCACAGACAACCACTGAAAGTGTGAACGTCTCGCAGCGATGACAGCCTGTGTGGTCTCCCACTTTCCTAACACAGTGCTCAACAATATATTGTCTGAGCTGAGCGATAGAGACAGACACTTATTTACAAGATGAACAGCTGAGAGGCAGCGGGGAAACACACAGGAGAGGATGGCATGAGAAAAAAAAAACGATCTAAAGAACCGAAATGTATATTTTTGCACTGACATTATAAATCCAAGCACTTTCAATAAACCAGGAATATTATTGTCCATTCTCAAAAACGTAACAAGCCTTATTTTGTTTCAAAAATTCCCCAAAGTTTCACGAATTTCAGGGACCCGTGGGAGCGCTACACGGATTATACTTTCTATTCCTCCTTAATCATTGCATTTACAGCAATTACTATTCTTTTAACCATTATGAATAAATTGTTGTGGTGATTTAAATTGTACCAAGCAAACGTCTGAGGGAAGCAGTGATTGCCACGACGCAGGATTCTTTGTTTTCCTTTTGGCACAGTTGGACGTGAAGCATGCAGAATATCCTCTTTAATCAGAACATCACTGCACAGCAGAAGCTTTTATTTGTCAGGAAACGTTATCGGTGGGTGTTTGAGTGGTTGTTGACAGACAGCGTCGTTATCGCTACAGCCAGCTGTAACAGACGGAGTGTGGCGGAGACTGATTAAAAACACACAGACGTCGCGCTGAACTTTTCAAAAGGCGGTTTAAGGTACGGCTACTTTTACATTTAGATTTAACGGTTTTGGCAAAAGATGACCTGACCTGCAGCTGAAGGACAAACACTAAAGCTTCGAGCTGAGACTGCACAGAAATAGACTGTAAATAAAGTAGGACAACATGCTGAATGAATCCCCACTTCCTCCATGTAAGTAGATGGGACATGTGCCAAATTAAAGAATTTAAGTACGTCAAATAATCTTTTCCCAAATATTTTAGGTAGTTCACACTGATCTTTATTCACTGGTACATTTTTTTCTATAAGTTTGGTTTTATTGAGTAATTTGATGACATGAAAATGGGTGAAACATCATGATTGGCAGCTGAGACTGATTCACGATTGTCCGAGTGCACGTATCAACTCATCCCTCGGTCAACGCTGCACAGCCTGCAAATGATGTCAATGGTGTAAGACAGCAGCGTCTGTCTCCGTGATATTATGGCTTCATGTCTCTAATGTGGGAGTCTTTGGTTGAGATGCGAGGATGGATGTGACTGATGACTGTGCATCCCAGGCACCATCAGTGCTGCTAAGAAACTACAGTGCATTTCCACCTCCGGACATGAGGCGTCCGTCGTTTAGCAGCGTTTGAACCCAGTGCAGCTTTGAGAATTGAAGATTTTATTCACATTCATAGCACCGCCCCAGAGTATTTACCCAGGCCAACGAGAGGTACAGACCCTCTCGTGTCCTATAGCGAGCGGGCAGCACGCTTCCCACACAACAGCCTTCCCTTGACACTCCAAGGAGAGCAGAGGCAGCTGGCTGCAAACTTTTCATTAGCAGGGACTGCAGAGAAAGATGGCAAATATTTATCTTTGCACAGATTGCTGTGCAGGGTCTGCATACAAAGCGAGACCCTCCTTCCACACAGTACCACAGTGTGAGAATAGTGTGGGATGTGAGTCAGTAGTTAGGGCTGCTGGACTGGGAAAGTAAGCAAAGTTGGAATAAGAGAGGGTCTCTGCGAATTTAGTGAGAATATCCATCAATGACAGTGTGTGAGTCTTTACCTCTACAATTGTGTGTGTGTGTGTGTGTGTGTGTGTGTGTGTGTGTGTGTGTGTGTGTGTGTGTGATATATGGCTCACCCACGGCCTTGCAGGTCTTCGAGGCAGGGTCCATCTCGTAGCCTTCGTAGCACTCACACTTATAATCTCCTTTGTAGTTGATGCAGATCTGACTGCAGGCGTCTGGATTCTCACATTCATCTATGTCTGTGGACAGAAATATGGCTCATAAATAAAGATTAAAGACACACACACACACACACACAAAGGCTTAAATGTCGTAAGAACACGGTTTAAGAGAAGCATATGCTCAGTTTCTGATATATCAAAAGTGTCTCTGAGGAGAATCTTCACTTCAAATAATTCTCTCAAATTGAGTTTCTAGGATTTATAATCTCAGAAGAAGAGGTTTCATAGAAATGAGGAATCCTTAAACAGATGTGAATGTTGTAACTTGAGAAATTATTGATGATTTAAAACATAATTTTCATTTCAAAGTCATTTTCAATAAACTCAAAAAAGTAAAGCTGGCTAAATGTTTTTTAATGCTTTTGACGGACGTTTCTTTGTTCATCAAATTGATGAATAACCTGTCCACATAATGTTTCACCTCTCCTCACTGGTATTTTGTATATTTGTTCAAGTTCAGCATCAAGATATGAAACTGCTTTTTAAGTTAAGTTTTTAAGGTGTCTTACAGGTACAGGGTTCCTAGGGCAAAAAATGTGAATGTTTTCTGTACCTAGTTCAATACGTAAATTTAATTTAATTTACACGAGAGCTCATCATATTACTTTTGCTTTTATGGGATGAAGATTTTTATCCCACATTTAACTTTAAATAAACATTTTTTTGTTGTTGTGCCTATACAACCACTCTTGATTTAATTTCTTCTTTCAATGATTTTCTTTCTTTCCATATAGATGAATCATAAGCTCACTATAAAAGATGGTGTCTCACTTTGACACATCGTGATAACTAACTTCAGAGAGCAGGAGTCTATACGATACGTTTTATTGAGTTACATGGAAAATTCTGCACTGGACAACAATGCTATAAAGACAGGACGTGTCAGATGTTGTGTTCAGACTCTACAGTCAAAACTTCTCCTAAATCCAGAATGTCTCAGTGTAAGTGTTTAGAGTGTAATAATATTTATCACATGCAATAAATAAGCATTTTTTACAGCAGCAGTTTACCTTTGCTACCACGCAGCCCAGCTCCAGGTCTCTACTGAACACAGGAACTACCCATCTACTACCTGAACTACCTAAACAAGTTCTGCCGAACACTTCCTCTGACCAGTATATTTCCACCAGTACGTTCAGAAGCCTCGTTCAATCCACGTTTCTTCAAAGCAAAGGATAAAAAAGGTTTGACCAGGTCCGGTAGTGGTTTTTTTTCCATTTACCTCCACAAGTCTTTTTGTCCAGGAGTTTGTAGCCGGAGGGACAGTCACACTCGTGACCGATTCTGCGGTCCCTGCATATATGGGAGCAGCCGCCATTGTTGTCCGCACACTCGTTCACGCCTGCAGAGAGAGAGGAGGAGGAAGGACGGAGGAAGGGTGAGGCATAGAGGCAAGGAAAGGAAAGAGGAGTCGAATTTTGATGAAATAACTCCAGTTGGCTTTCGAACAAAAACGATTCAGGCTGCATGGGCCATTTTAAAGAGAGAGGCAAGGACAAGACCAAAACATCTGAGGCTTACGCATTTAAATTTAAAGGGACACAAACTCGAGACACTAAAGCTGAAGAAACAGTTGGTCATTGTCCCTTCAGGTTGGTTCTGTACACATCAAATCATAATTTAAAAAAAAAGATGGGCTTAGAAAAAGACAGACAGAGGTATGGGTGTGTGTCTGTGTGTGTCTGTGTGTCTGTGTGTGTGTGTGTGTGTGTGTGTGTGTGCAGGGTTTTAATGTGGGTCTGCTTGCGTGCATGCTCATGGCCCAAAGGAACAGTCTTAGCCAAACGCACCTGGAGCCAATCCATCCTCCAACAGGGAACTTGGCCTCGTGTACCAGGTGCCACTCGGCTATGAAGCTATTGTAGCACGAGCACATGCTCTCCTTCACCCTCTCATCTCATTTCCTCCTGGTTTTGTTTTTAGCAGAACAGATTGGACCGTCTCTCAGTCAGCCTTTCCTCCGTGTCTCTTCCTATTTGTATCCGTTTCTCTGCCTCCATTTATCCTTTCAGCTTTCAGCAGCACTCCAGGGAGGAGAGAGGGATCGCTGCCTGAAAACTAAAGCTGGTACTTCATTACCGGTTTACATTAAAGATTTAAGCTTCGAGGCTACAGGTAAACTGTGGGACTACAGCGAAACACAGAGAGAGTTGAGAAATATGGAAGTAAAGACTCGAAAAAATAGCTTTACCAGTTTATAAGGATGAAATCTATAGAAAGCTCACTCTATTCTAAATATCAGTGTAGCTTCGCACCAACATAATATTAAAGTCAAAGATTGTGACAACGTCAAATCTTATTTTAATGGATTTAATCTACAACAGCAACTTAACTAAAGGCCCGAAAAAATAAAGGGACACTCAAGTCTCCGTTTGATAGTTTTGGCAGAATATTAATGCCCATGTTTTGTGAATTTAACATCCACATATGGATGTAATATTCAAGTGTCCACATACTTATGAACATCAATAGAGCAGGAATTTCTCTCCTGAGGATTTTTCTCATCTCGTCTTGACCACTGTTCATTGCTGCATGTTGAGGAACTCTCATTAGTAAATTGGGCCTTTATTGATTGGCCATATTTAAGGAACGAGAGTTGGGAAGACATGTAACAAATGTCGGGTCGGAACATGCGGCTGCTGCAGAGGACTCAAGTACGCGGGGGGGGCTACCGATCAACCAGGTTTGCTACCGGGCGCCATGCAACTATCATATTCATTAGGTTGTCAGTTAAAACTAAAACATGGAGAAGGAGAGGATGAACGATATGGTTACAGGGTGATGCCAGTGCAGCATATTCCCATCTGCCTCTTTTCAGAGCGAGACCCACGATGCAGCGTTTCCTCAAGTAATCTCAGAGAAATCTGCTTGTACATGCACTTGCATGAAATCTCACTGATGCATCTCAAGTTACTTCAACTGCAATTACACGAGCTATATTCACTTGATGGATTTTATTAACTGGTATGTTTCTCTCAGCTGCCTCACTATGTTTACAGCCAGATTGCATTGCTTGTGATATAAAACCCGTGACTGAACATCGCTGAGTGCTAATTATTTATGGTGTGTGCATAATCTGTGCGGCTGCTTATGGGTAACGTAGTCCTGTCACGTCTTCATGGCTGAGATTGCACCAGGGGGCAGACGCGCTCAGCTCTTTGATCACAACAAGGCCGCTCAGAAACGTCCCGATCCGTGCTGCCTTGATCAAATGAAAAATCCTTTTACTAAGAAAAGTGACCACCCACATTAGAAGGAGTCGATGATGCCGAGGAATTAATGTGTGCTGTTACATTAACATGTACGTACATCCATGTACGCCTGTGGGAGGTGATGGAGCTAATGAGTATCTGTGTGTGTGTGTGCAGAGAGGAATCATCTCACCACACTCCTTCATGGGCTCGTCAGACCAGTCCTTGCAGTCCTTCACGTTATCGCACACCTTGCTGCTGTCGATGCACTCGCCGTTCTTGCAGCGGAACTTCCTGGGCCCGTCACACTTGGTAACTGTGGCGAAAACACAACGTACAATCAAAGTTATAGATTATAGGCTTTCACTCACTGACCTGCATCCTACAGCTACAAATACACAACGTCCAGGGGCTTTAGTTTGTGTCCACAGATGTAATCAAAATACTCCACATGCCTTAATTTGATTATTGACAATATGACCTCTACTTCTTATTCAGACTATGAGGTTAATTGGGTTAATATAAGAATATTGGTGAAGTGATTCATTTTATTCAGACTTACTTAAAATTAACAATAAATACATGTTAATGGTTGTTTTGCTCTTGCACCACAAATGTGTACAGATTTAAAACTATTCACTGGATCATTTCATCTAATTCACCAATAACTTTCACTGTTTTTGCCGAATGTCATTTTCAATGTGACTGAAACAAACACAAACAGCCTCTTCCTGTCTGTCCTTGTTTTTTTTGTGTATTTCTGTGTCACATGTACACACACACACACACAC